ATAGCTACTCCTAGGGCCTATAAAAGTTTGTCGTAGTCTACTATTCCCGAGTTAATGTCATTTGTGGTCCTCTGATTATAGTAATTTTGTTATGTTTAATTCTAAAATTTTAAATTGATTACATGTGGTCCTTCGACTTTCAAATTGTTATTATTTATGGTCCAAGTTAACCATTCATGAATCATGATCCTTCAACTATCAAATTTTAACCACCCATAATCTTTCTAGGAGAACCACAATTAGTTAAATTTTGAAAGTTGAAGGACCATGAATGGTAAACTTGAATCATGGATGTAACAATTTGAATGTCAAAAAACTATGAAAAATCAATTTAAAAGTTTAGGACTAAACGTGACAAAACTATCATACTCGGAGGATCTTATATGACATTAACTCTTTATTTCCAAACATTTTAATATGAAATCCATTTTGTTTGTAATAGTTTGAAAGCATTATACTCTCTATTGATAAAAGTAAGAGCTAGCTAGTGTCTCATATTAAATCTCATACCTTACCATTCCTACATGCAATATATTAAAAATGAACATTTATTCATTATCCACGTTGCAACGTCAACTATGAATGTTCAACGATATAATTTGCCCTTACCTGTCAGCAATGCTGAGAATTAACAAAAAGCTCGACATCATCGCCATGTGATCAGACCCTACAATCTCTCACTTCATTTGGAGGATTCCTTTTGAGTCATCCATTCTTGAAAATCCTTGCCAACATCCTTATCTTCACCTAATATTATGAACACTGATCCATAATTCTCCTCGGACAAAACTAGCTCGTTTGACTTGTCTTCGCAAGTGTACAAACGTAAGGGTCTCAGCCTCAGGTAGTGTTACAAGTTTACAACAAATGGAAATCCAGGTTACCTAAATGTAAATTTATTTCAATTTCATCAATCCATACAATATCTGTATCTTCCCTTCAGAAAAAAAACAGGGGGAAAATGGAGAGGGTCTGTAACTTAGAGTAGATACATGCCCACCAGGCACCAGTAACAATGATTTAGAACTTAGGAGGGTATAATTCTTCGATTTATCGGAACAGCAAACTTAAAGGGCGCCAGTATAAAGAACAAGCGAATCAACTTCTAAGCATAACTATTTACACCGAGAAACTAAAAATAGAATCCCATACCAGCGTGTGAATCTACTAATTCTCAGGCAGCAGGCATCGAAGTAGAGATGACCAAATAAGACAAGTATTGAAGCCCATCCTGAATTTTTCCAATAGCTGTGCTCTGATCTGCACTGAGATCCTTTGAAAAAGCATTAACTTTGTCCTGAATTGTTTTCTGGGGAGTTTCATGCGAATCAGCAGAAGCAGCTTTGATTGCATCTAAATATGCCTCTGTCACATCAGATATACCTGCAGCTCAAAATCAAGTTCATCAACTCAACAAGTGGAGGAGCTGTTATCTTTGCTATCAAAATTCAAGACAAAAATGAAGTTGAAGCATAAAGATAAAAGATTTGCATAATATGGTGAAACGCGTGCCTAACTCTATTTGAAGGTAAAATTGTAATTATAGAGTATCATTGTCTTCACACGAGACATACCTGGACATGGGGCATAAGAATACATATCCCAATATAATAAGGCTATCAAGTGTTTTCAAGAACTATGAAAGATATTTGTCCTATGGTGCCAGGTTGTCAGACTATCTTATAGAATAAAAATGAAGACTTGAAGTAAATTATTTGTTACAACTCGACTTGCAAAAAAACTAGAACAAAAGAAACATGAAGAAATTGCAGGTTAAAGAAAAAATGAATTAAGGTTTATTACAACTCTACCTGTAATAAAACTGGAACAGACTGCCTCAACACTTGCAGTCATCAATTCTGCCCTCGCTCGGATAATCTTAGCTTTTTCAATAGAATCCTCAGGCCAATTAATTTTCACCATATCCACTTCATTAACATCCTCATCCGGACTCTGAGTCTTGTTTGCATCAGATGTGATAGATTTCCCAAGCAAGAGAATTTGGGTAACAGCAGAGCAACACACTTCTGAAAGCCTCTGTATTAACATGGACAATAAGTTACTTGCTAAATTTGGCCATAGCAGAAATATAAATGCTGTTAGTTACACAATTTGATAAGAGAGTACAAGAGAATAACTAAATGCCTTCATACATGAACACCCTCAGAGTGGAGAGATTCCAGTCTCCCCACAGTCCGTTGTATCATATCATTTGGAGCTAGTCCAGCCAAAGCATTTGTAAAACTACAAAATAACCAAAATAGAGCTTTTTAACAAGGTAAAAGCCAATGAAAAAGGCATCAGTATACTATTAAAAAAGGGAAGTAAAACAGTAGATAATCATAATTGCAATAGTTCATTCCCTATTTGGCTTGAAAATTCAGGAATTCTGTTAGCTAACTGCTAGTGCCTGAACCAGATGATTCCTGTTCTTCTCAAAATATGCACAGGACAGAAAAAAGCCCCAGACCACAATATGCAACAAAAATTGCCAACGTACATCAAGAATCATAAAATTAACGAATCGTATGAATCCCCCCCCCCCCCCCCCCCCCCCCCCGGTTATTTGATGAATATGTTTAGTTTGCTAAAGTTGATGAATCAGGCCCTCCCACCATACTGCCCAAAAACTGAATGTGTTTAAGGTTATATTACCCAGCAGCCAATTCAGCAGCCTTGCTCACACTGGAATCACGTAAAACCTTCATCTCATCAGCATTATCCATATTTCCAGTCTCTATTTGCTTTCCCTTTTCCAATTCCACACTTCCATCAATTTCAGAACTCAAGTCAAAATACAGCTGGACCTGTTTAAGCTTTCCATCAAAAGTAGACCTTTGTTCATAAGGTAGCTTCACTTTTTTTCGGTTAAATAGCATTGCATAATGATTGGACAGTGCTTCCAGCTCCTGTAAGTAAACATTATTGTCAAACCTACAAGAAGCCTTTCAAAACAAAAATAGCAATTAGAAATTTGAACTGACCTCTAATTGTTCTGGACCCCCATAAATATAGAAGCATCGATCAAATGTAACCTCCTCAAAGAGCTGATCTTCATCTACTATTCCTTCAGTTTCCTTGGTCTGTTTCTCAACTTCAATACCAGTTTCTGATATTAGAAGATCCATGGTCTCTTTACCCAGTTGCTCAAGCACTTGCATTCCCTTGGCAGTAAAAGCTTTTCCTGTCTGTAAAATAGCACAAATATAAATAGTGATGGCAGAATGCAAACATTGAAAAGGCTAATCAGAAAAATATTTGCAGACCTCCAGAATGGATGGCGCACCAGAACCAGTTTCCCCAGGTAAGCCACCTTGCTGAATGGATTCCTCAAGCCTGAATAAGCAGAACAAAGGATCGTGTTAATAACTAACTACTTGGGAATCCAAGAAGGGAAAGAAGTTCACAGGTTTAGAATTGTATTTTGTTATTTAATTAATTTTTTTGAGAAGTAACAGGCTTAGAGGTAAAGAGTAAAACCATGCAATTCAGATAAAAGAAGACGTACTTGTGAACAAAACTAGAACCCCCTTTCAATGCATTTCCTAGTGCTTGCCAAGCCCCTGAAGCAATACTCTCAACTGAATTGTCAATGACCTTCAAGCCCTGCAGAAGTTTTTGAGAGATAAACATAGCCATACTAAACAATTAGAGGAAAAAATTACAAATCAGCACATGTCAATCTAAATGGAATAACTTGGACGGATATGGCATATGTGCAAGACAAATATAGCATGACCCCTACAATAGACAAACAGACAACTCTTCTTAACCATTTCTCTATGACTTGCCTGGCCAAGGAAAGAATCTTCACTAGCTTTCTCTAATTTATCCAAAGCCTCCTTGCGTCGTTTGTCATTCTCATCTTCACCTTCAATCTCAACTGCAGATGCTTCAGTTTCATTCTCGTTAGCAGATTCAGACTCCTCAACTGCATTCTGCACGTCAGAAATGCTTTTTGCTGCTGTTTTAGCAGCCTCAACAGCCTGCATAAATGAAGCACATATAACTGAAACTACCCTGGAATGAAGAAATGGAAATGGAAAATTAGAAAAGGTACTATTCAAGGCAAAGATCCCATACACTACAAATTCCCAGCATCCCATGAAATTCAATACACGGCTGCTTGAGAAAGGCATTGGCTTTTCTTTTATGAAAAACAATTGTTACCCTAACTATGCCTTATTTACTCACCACTTCACAAACACATCCTAATTAACTTATCAGTTCAATTTTAGGAAAGCTAAGATTTTACTCTTCAATAAAAAATTTATAATTATCCACAAACTTCCCTCATGTAGAAGTGACTCAGAATGCAAAAACCAAGCTATTACTAGCAAAATTCGCACCTGAGGAGCATAAAAAGAAGGCATTTCTAAATACAAGTAAACTTTAAACTCCAGACTCCAAAACGGCAAAACCCCAAAATTTAAAAAATAGATCGACTATAATTTGTTCAGTAAAACACTGAGGGCAACATTACCCAAAGTCTATTCTCAAATACACTCTAAAATATACCCTAACAACAATTAAAAGATGGCTAAATTTGAGACTTGGAGGCACTATTGAATGCCGTCTTCAACGATGGCTAAATAAACCAGAAACACAGGAAACCCAAACGCACACAGGAGATATGGAGAAAGGAGAAATGTACATTGCGAGAGATCTCTTCGGCAGCAACGGTGGCAACCTTCTGAAGGTCGGAGAGATAAGAGAAAGCGGAGAACCCCCACCCACCCCATCCACCGCCAGCACGGCTGCTATCCTGCGCAGGTGTTCCTTTTGGCGCTTCAGTTGCCGTTGTCGTCGCCTCCGTTACTCCTTCACCTTCCTGTACAAGTTTTATCTCTTCTTCATTCGAAGATTTGGCCGTTATCTCCGCCATTTTAGTTCCGAGCGTTCAGTTACTGGTCAGAATCCCGCCGAGGAACAACAGATCGCCCTGCTTCTCGGTGAAGATCCAATGCCACCTCAAATTCAGTGGTTGGGTTTACCTACCGATCTGGTAAGACTTGTCCTTGACGGCAAAAGGATTCGAAACGAAACGACGTCGTTAATGCTCTTTCCCAACAAGTGACGCTTAATCATAACTTAGCCCTAAAATTAAAGAAATTCTAGCATATCTTCTTCCCTCTTGAATTTTACAATAATAATACTAATGGTAAGCGTAGGACATCCTTAATAGTGGACATTTTGGTATGACTATTGAGAAATTTTTGTAAGTGTGATTAGGAAAAAAAAAAATGGAAGAAAGATGTTTAAAAAAAAAAAATCAAATGTCAGCAAAATTCAAAAAATAATAATAATAAATTACAGACTTAGGCTCTAAACGCGTGCACGGCACGTGTTCGACTGGGCGCGAATGTGCAGCCCACGCACAACTTGCTGCTTTCTTATTTTCTTTGTGGAACCCACACAAGGGACAAAACTGACAAATTATTTTTCTCTTGCAGGAGAAAAAAATCCCCAAAATCTATCATTCCCATTTGTCAAAAGTTTAGCTAAGAAGATCTTACTATTCCAAACGCTTTGAATAAACCCCTATTAGGGTTGCTCTTAAATATAGTACTCCCGTAGTAATTTTTTACAAGAGCAAATATAATTCTTATTAATTTTCATCTACAAAGTTGTCACAAGGTCACCCCTCTCTTTAACACATTGAAATCTAGAAATTTTGAAAATATTTTCAACATTTTCAACTTAATTACAATCATTTAAACTCTAAAATAGATACAATTCTCATTTCCATTCTACCTTACTCCTAATAAAACTAATATAAACTTTATTAGCTCTCCTTTTCATTCTATCTTACTCCTAATAAAACTAATCTAAACTTTATTTGTCTCATCTTCTTTACAATGCTAAATAAATTCTGAAAAGAACATAAAAGTATTTTAAAATGACACATCATATTATTATTTTTTTAAATTCAATCTTGTATCATATTTTAATAAGATAATGTCCACACGAGATACCAGGACTGATCATAAAAAATTATGAAATCCAATGAGATTCTGTTCCGTCATTTAAATGCCCAATTGGTTGGTTTTGTTGATTTTAACGTGGTGAGCTGTTGTATAGACCAGAAATGGTGATACAATAATGGTGTAGAAATATGATGATATTGATGACGCACTCCTTAATAGCCTTTGAAGATTGGCGGTGGGGGTGATGAGTACACAGCTCCCAAATCTGGAGGAAGAACCACCTCCGGTGGTGGCGGGGACGGAACAGGTGCCGGAGGAGGCGGCGGAGAAAAGACCGGAGGAGGCGGTGGAGATGGTGTGGGAGGCGGTGGAGAAAAGACCGGAGGAGGCGGTGGAGATGGTGAGGGGGGCGGTGGGGAGTAGACCGGAGGAGGCGGTGGAGAATGAACCGGAGGTGGTGGTGGAGATGGTGAGGGGGGCGGTGGAGAGGGAACGGGTGGTGGTGGTGGTGGAGGAGAAGCGACTGGAGGCGGGGGCGAAGGAGTTGGCGGTGGAGGAGAAGCGACGGGCGGCGGTTTGGGAGTGGATGGGGTTGAATCTGGACTACCGCCACCTTTACAACTAATTTTACTACAATCAATTGGCTTGCTCATAACTTCACGACACACATTCTCAGACCTCTGGTTCTCCAATCCTGGGAAACAATTGTTACTATTATCCACCTGAAGCCCCTCCTGCGGCGGCACGCATGATGGATCCTGCGAATCGAAATAGTTGCCGGCGAAAGACAGGTTTTTAAGATTAGGCAAGGTGCAGAGGGACTTGGGAACATTCCCCGTTAACATGTTCCCATCAAGATTCATAATTCCCAGTTTCTCCATCTTCTCCATCCCTTTAGGCAACTCCCCAACCAGCTTATTATTCCTCACATCAAACAGCGTCACATTCTCGAACATACTCATATCTTCCGGCAAACACCCGGATAACCCGTTGTTCAAGAAAAGCACCTCCTCCATTGTCCCTTGCATTCTGGCCAGGCTGCCGGGAACGCACCCACTGAACTCGTTATTCGCCAACACCACAAGCGAGGCCGAGGAGTTTCCGAAGTTCTCCGGGATGTTCCCCTGCAGCCGGTTGTCGTTCAAGAAAATGACGTCCATGTCTTTGTCGAACAACCCCAGCGGCATTTCCCCTTCGAAATCGTTGAACCGGAGATCCAGATACTTGAGGGACTCCAGCTCCAGGAGAATCTCCGGGAACGGCCCGACGAAGCGGTTGTTGCTGAAGTCGATCTCGAAGAGAAGGGTGAGTTTGGTGATGGTCTTGGGAATAATGCCGCAAAACCTGTTGGAGTTAATGTGGATGAGAGCGAGGTCTGTGAGTAGCCCAATCTCAAGAGGGAGATGGCCGGCAATGTCGTCGTGGTTGAAATCAATCCCGGCAACAACCCATGGCTTATCGGGATCATCCAGAGCGTGATCGCAGAAGACGCCATTGTAGGAGCAGACATCAGGGCCAGTCCAGTTACCGGTGATGATCTTGTTTGGGTCGGAATAAATGGCGTTCTTCATTGCCTGAAGCCCAACATAAGCTTTTTTTTGCCTGTCATTGGCGAAAACCAAATTTTTATCTACCTTTTCCTCCCAATTCTCCAGGGCCTCCTCGGCTTTCACTTTCTCAAGAGATAGGAGCTGGCGATGGGCAATTAAATCAACCTCGGCATCGGTTAACGCGACGGAGACCGGAGAGACGGCGAGGGATACGAGGCAGAGGAGTAAAAGGCAGCATAATGCCTTCTTCATGCTTCCGATTATTTATTCTATGGGTGGGGGGAAACGGGACCGACCCTGCCATTCAATGTTTCTGGATATATATATACATTTCACAGATTCCGAGGTTTTCAGGCACAATTGTCGGAAGAACATCCATCTATGAATTGAACCAGTCTTCTTCCCCTTATTTGCCGTGCAATATTAATGGACACTAATTTCTTCACATCTCTTTAGTCTTTACCACACACCTACACCTCCCCCAACAAATGTGTAATAGAAATCATAAAAACCTGTAGCTCTGTGGTCTGTGATTTTACAAAAAATAACATACACCCAATAACACAAATAGAATTGATAGACTAATCCTATGCTCCCAGATTCAAATGGGACGGTTTAGGTCAGACTAATTCTAAGCTCTCGAAATTCCTATTCAAAAATTGTCCAGAACATTAACAAACAAAGCTTATAACTTATTAGTAGCTTAAAATATACTATAAGCTCTGCCAAATAGAGCCGTAATCTCCCCTTGTCATTTTAATTTACACCAGCTTATTGTGGAAACTGGAAAGAGAACTCTAAACTATATTGTAGATTCTTGGTCACAGAAAGCACAAATTTATAAAGCAATTCCTTTTCATTAAACAAGCTACAGATTGAAGACTACAATTGTCTGCCGAAACCCAGTATTTATATTAATCAACAGACTTTATAAGAAGATTACAGATCAGAGTAACTATACATTTATTCCTTCAACCTCTACTCACTAGTAGTATAAACATGGAGCTGAATATGAATATCAATAGGTTTGGTGATCAGGTGCTTGGGAGTACCATGCCGGGGATTTCCCTTTGATCCTCAGTAATCTGGTGAAAGGGGAATCTGGCATCAAAGCTCTCTCTTCTTCTTCAACCTCTTCTCTTGACTTGGGCAATCCGTCAGGTACAGGGCACACCCTTTCCTCATCAACTTTATCACTGTTCTTCGCCTTCGCGGGTTCCTGCAAATTTTTCGCCGGTTTCTGCATTGACGCGATCCCATGCACGCACCCAATCAGAGATTTCACTCCACCTGCTTGCAGGATTAGCCTCTCCACCTCCTCCTTTGGATGTTCTTTCTGATAATAATAAAACAACCATTTTCAATTTTGATTAAGAAAACTTTCCAGAACCCATTAGATCCATATCAACCAAAAAAGCTCAGACCGTTCTTGAATACTTAAGAGACTTACTTCAAGATCCTTGAGTTCAAAATACGCCCTCCAGCAGCTATAGGAATCATCCCCTTCCAGAACAGAGCAATAATCTGAAGATTATCAAATACCCTAAAATTAAAACCCCTGTTGCTGAAAACAAGGCTAAAGAAAGACAAAGTTTTTAAACAACATCTGATCTGTTTTCTCCCCCTTTTTCTTCCATCGCGAAAAGCCCATGTTTTTGGAACATACTAATCAAGGCAATAATAATCAAGACTCGAGGGGAATACACAAAATGAAATTAGAAAGTTTCTAGGACAAGACACGATATACGATGCGTACCTGCGAGTTCGCGTTCGCATTTCTCGATGAGAGGAGGGTCTTTAACGACTCTCTCGAGCTTGCTCCGGCTAAAAGGCTCGAGCTTTGGTATCGAACCATTGGTTCTTGAAGAACACCGGATGGTGAGCGGATTTACAGCGCTTCCTGAACCATGGCTTTTATTTGCAGCTTCAAAAAGAAGAGCTGAAGAAGACGAAAATGGCAGATGGGGTTTCAAACTAACAGATCGCAACATTTTTCCTTTGTGTAATGTTCAGAGACGACTCATCAATTCAAAAATCATAAAATGAAGGTTGAAACAGTTCGTAGATAATAAAGATGTTGTGGATAAGGATGAGATATTTTTTATTGAATTTTCTTTCTTTAGTTGTCCTTTGATGAGAGATAGTGTCACGGACAGTCACGATTGGATGTCGTGACAGCCTAATCCAGGACACTGATTTATCAGAATTTTGTTTGATGTCATAATTTGTGGGGTCACCTGAGACTAGGTTGCGGCGTTAAAACCACGAGCGTTTTCTTTGGGCTAAAAAGAAATATCTTTTTTTTTAAAAAAACTAAAAAGAAATATCTAGAGAAGCCGTTCTTTTTTAGATATTCTTGAAAGGAGTAAATACCGGCGGAGGTCCTCCGACTTTGGTGGCACTGTCACTTTTAGTCCTCAACTTTTAAATCAACCACTTTTAGTCCTCTTACTTTTTGTTTCTAGTCATTTATGGTCCTTTCGTTAAACTTGACCATCTAATGCCGTTTTCTAAACGATAATTCAGTCATTTCATTATTAATTTATTAATTATTATGCTTAATTTCCTCATCAGAATAGTCAAATAATGGTTTCCCAGCTATGAACGTGTACAAAACCAACTCGTGAATCAAAATGGCGTACAAAAGCTGGTACAAAGATTGTGTCAAAACGACATCGGGATATCTTGGTATGACTCGGCAAACATAATAATTAATAAATTAATTATGAAATGACTGAATTATCCTTGAGAAAACGACATTAGATGATCAAGTTTAACGGAAGGACCATAGATGGCTAGAAACAAAAAGTAAGAGGACTAAGAGTGGTTGATTTAAAAGTTGAGGACTAAAAGTGGCAGTGCCAACAAAGTCAGAGGACCTCCGCCGGTATTTACTCTTCTTGAAAGTGACAATTACTTTTTGTATTTTATTTTAGTAATTTATTAAAATATGAAATTATATTATTACAATTTTTAGAGAAATAATAAAATGAGTAGATACCTGAAATGGTCCTCGACTATAGCTAAATTTATAAATTATCTTTGACTTTCAATTTCAACCAATTAAGTCCTTAACTTTGTAATTTTAATACAATTTGGTCCTCTGTCTATTTGACCGTTTGTTGACTGTGATTTTTTAGGATATATATGTACTTTCATGATCCATAGTCAGTTTTTTAAGGTTCCGGTTGCATTTTCAAACCGCACTATTACATTCGAATCCACTACCGAAAGTAATCTACCAAATCCGGTCGCCTTTCTTCATCCTCCCTTTGGATTCAATGTAGTTGAGTTCGTACCAGAGCGAAGAAGACGACGTGTTTCTGAACCGCTGCAACGTCATCCTGGAGGCCTCCACGTGCTCCGACGAGAGCTAAAGGTTCTTCTGGAGATCGTCGATCACGGTCAACAAACAGTCAAATAGATAGAAGACCAAATCGTGTCAAAGTTACAAAGTTAAGGACTTAATTGGTTGAAATTAAAAATCAAAGACCAATTTATGAATTTAGCTATAGTCAAGGGACCATTTTGAGTATTTACTCTAATAAAATTGAACAAAAAGGAATAAATGCCAAATACTTTATTAAACTTTTTTGAAGAACACTTCATTTGGGCCCCACCAAATCACTTTCCTTGTTTCCTTTTTGCCTCCCACTGGGCTTTGATAATTTGGGCCTTTGATCTCGGATTTGTGTATTGTCATTTTTTTTTAAATTTTGTTGGATTATTTACATATATTTATAGGGGGGTTAATCAGTAATTTTGTATATATCTAGAGTTTTCATTCTTTCTAAAAGGTAGAACCTCAATTCTAAGGGTCATATCTAGAGTTCTCATTCTTTTTAAAAGGTTGAACTCTAATTCTAAGGGCTTCCACACTCCGCCCGACAGAGCACCTGGGAGGATGTAAATCATGGTAACTCAATTGAACATGAACTACAGAGGGTAGATCTTTGATGACTGCGCATAAGAAGCCCTATTCACTTTGAGAATATCTAGAGTTCTCATATTATTATTTGTGGATGTTATAAGGTATTATTATTTTAAATTTCATAAATTTCAAACACATATTAACCAATTATGTGAGTATTATATCACCATAATCTTAACTAAAAAGATAAAGGCCCTGTTTGGTAAAAAATTGGCATATAGGCCAATTTTGGCTTATTTGACCACTATTAATTGTTTGATTTAGTTAAAATATCAATATAAATGTTTGGTTAATTAGCTTTTTGCAACTCCAAAAGGCTAAAATTCAAAAGTCTACTCCAAGCAACTTTTTCAATTAGCTTTTTGAAAAAAGAAATTACACCAAACAGCTATCAGCTAACAGCTAATTTACCAAAAACTTTTCTACAAACATCTAATGTTATCAACTATTTATACACTCTAATTAACAGAATCAGCTAACAGCTAACAGATATCGGCTAACAACCATTTTACCAAACAGGGCTAAAGTAATTTTGCATTACCTCTTAGGAGATAATCTTATTGCTTTAGGTAATTTCACATTTCGTGAACTAAATGCTCGATAAGAAAAATATCAACATTGATACTGTGAGGCAAATTATATTATAGACCATATAGTCTATCATATATTGTAAACCTAGTCCAAAATAATATTCAGATTATGTATTTATAGTTAATATATTATGTACATACAATTAACAGTTTATATGTTTATAAATAAATTAAATACACATAACATACTAATTGTACACATTATATGTGCCTGCAGTTAAGATATTATGTGTATGTAGTTATCATGTTATGTACTTATGTGTCTGTAGTTAACATGTTATATGCTTCTAATTTATTTACAGTCACTTATGCATGTATAAAATATGTCAACTACAAACACATAATTTTGAACCAGGATCCACAATGCAATATAGACCTTGATCTATAGTATAACAATTGGTCTAGTAAATGAGATTCTTTATTGAATACTTCCCGTGCTAGGGTGTGTGTTCAATTTCTACTACTAATATTGAGAGTTTGAGTTTGAATTTATTGTACATATAAGTAATTTAATGTTGAATCTCAAAGATAAATTGATTCAATTTACCTCAGATTCATGGGCCCAATATATGGTCGGGACAATTGTTATACCATGGGTCATGGTCCATCTTGTATTGTGTACCCAGGTCTAAAAATTAGGCAAATTATATCGTGCACCAGGACACACAATGCATTGTGCGCCATAACCCAAAACGACGTCGTTTTGTATATGTTTTCCGTTTCTGCTGTTAACTTTAAAAAAAAAATAAAAAAAAATCCATGTCTTGTATGTACAGAATTGTATAGTAGAATACACATAAACTCCTAACATAATACATAATACACATAAACTTTTAACATAATACACATAAACGCAAGTGTTAAAAAAAACTGTAATGGGATTAGACGGACGGAACGATGTCCGTCGCGTCAACTCCCCACCAACTTATAGAAACATTGTCGTTTTGGGCTAAGGCGCACAATGCATTGTGCACAATATAACAATTGCAAAAACTTATGTGTATGCAGATGACATATCATTATTCCCAAAAAGGTAGGGGACCCACACCCCGATCCGACAGAGCATCTAGGAGGACGTAAATCATGGTAACTCAGCTGAACACAGATGTCAGATCTTTGCTTACTGCACACAATGAGCTTTCCTCACTTGCTCCCACACTACCGTTTGTGAGACTCGATTCCTAATCATTTTTTCTAAACTTCACTTCTTTGACCAACTGAACTGCTCATACAGGTGCAGTTGACATATTATGTACATACAATTAATAGTTTATATGTTTATAGTTAATATATTATGTATCTTTAAGTTATTTATATGCATATAAACATTTAACTACATGTACAGAATATTTCATCTGTAACATATCATTTAAAAGCTATTTCGAATGAAAGTTTACAAAATTAGAACTTGGTCGATGGTATAGTTTGCCATGGTCGGGGTTATAAATTTTTTTTTTAAAAAAAAAATAAAAAAGTCTTTCTCATATTTGAATAGTCCGTAAATAACTTCCGATAGTAAAATATAACGGCCGCAACTGCCTCTACTCCCAACAAGGTGGCAACGACGATTTTCTTTCCCTCGTTTTTTTTTTTTTTTTTTAGTTTTCTCTCTCCACCGCACAGCGCCAGCCGGCTTCTAACTCGAAATTATATTCGATCAATCATGAATAATCGATAAAATTTTTGGATTCTAATTTTGAATTTATGCCCAAAATTTCACTTGTAAAAAGTTGTAACATTTTCGCGCAATCAATCAGATCAGTGGCTTGCGAGTTATCTTCCTGGGCATTCATGCATTTGTTGTTGTTTCCGTTCAAAATCTATCGTCTTTGATGCTAGATTCGAAATTTTTGAACTGTAAAATCGAGAAATTTTAGGGTTTCACGGTGTATTAACGCACATGGGGACTATAAAAGATCTGATCGAAGATGCAAAGCTTCGAACGGTATGGTGGGGTCTCTGTATATTCGCAGTTTGCTACTTCATAACGCGTAAGTTTAAAATTCTTGTTCTTCATTTTTTGACGTTTTACATAAACGAACGTTGTTCTTTGCTGCAGATGTCATTGGCATTGCTTTATTTCTGTGTGTTTACGAATTATATAATGTTATTTCGTGTTTGATCTTTGCATCCTTCAGAAATGAGTAATTTTAAATTATTGCAATGCTGCTTAGAGTATAGCTATGGTTTTATCTGCTTGTGTTTACATTTTATGAGAGTAAAGTTTAGGCTTTTAAAGGATTGCATAATGCATCTGTATAGTTAGTTTTCATGGAAAATTTGCAGTTCCTTTCTAAATATCCTCTCTTGAATCTTGATTGCAGACACTAGCAAATCAATGTGGATGAATGTGCCAATTGCGGTGTTGCTGGTGTCTGTGTTACGGCTGCTATTGAATGAGGTGGAGTTTCATTGGAAACCTCAAAAGGTTAGACCATACACATACTTGTCACACTTGGAAAAGAAGCAACTACCTGTGAATGATTCCCGTCTTTGTACATCACTGCCCCCACCGAAACGGAAGAGGAAGATTGATGCACCACTTGTAGAAGCCGCGATGGATGACTTTGTAAACAAGCTTTTGCATGATTATGTAATAGATTTGTGGTATTCTGATATTACGCCTGACAAGGAAGCACCTGAACTAATATATCAAGTAATTATGGATGCCCTTGCTGAAATATCTCAAAGAGTGAAAGAAATAAACCTTGTTGACCTGTTGACAAGGTATCATTTATTCCAGGCTAGTAAAAACATATCTGCTTAATTTTTCTTTCAAAGTGGCAGAACTTTAGCATTAGGGATAGTTAAATTCTTGATACTAAACCCAATGTGTTCCAATTATTAAGGGATATAGTTGACCTGATAGGCGATCATCTGGACCTTTTCCGAAGAAGCCAGGCTGCTATTGGCAGGGATGTAATGGCGACACTGTCTTCTGAAGAGAGGGATGAGAGATTGAAGCACCATTTATTGCTCTCCAAAGAACTTCACCCAGCTCTGATATCGGCAGAGTGTGAGTACAAGGTGTGAGTGGAGTGTTCTCACGAAGATATTTCTTTTACTTGAATTTCATTTTATTTTAGGATATCAATTAATGCTACAGTGAAATAGGTTCTTCAGCGGCTCATCAGTGGAGTCCTAGCTATAGTGCTAAGACCAAAGGAAGCTCAATGCCCTTTAGTTCGCTGCATTGCTCGAGAAATTGTAACTTGTTTGGTATTGCAACCTATATTGAACTTTGCCAGTCCATGGTGAGCTATCTTTTTACTATGTATTCTTGTCGAAATTTATGTTTGTTATGTAGTATTCTATGCATGTTTATTAGTTACTATTTTATTCTCTAAAGTTAGTTGAAGATTGGGTGTTACCCTCATTTGAATTATTTCACAGTTAAAAGTACTATCTTCTGTTTACTTCTTAATATTAGAATGCTTATTTATGAATCTTCAATTTTTATACTCCATATTTGAGATCTTGTTTGAAGTTTTATTCTTTCTTTTTAAATTATAAGTAACTATTCTATTACGAGAAGTCCTCTAGAGCACCAGTCACCTATTCTTCTAATGTCTGAATGAGATTCTATAATTCCTAATGACTGCAATGAATTAAAGCACTCTCCCATTTCTCTTAATTGTCACATGGAGTCAGAAGAAAAATATTTCTCCTTTTTCTTAGTTTCATTCATCTATACTGCCTACCCTTTTCAATCATTATAGTCACCTACCATTCTTGCAGGTACATCAATGAGTTGATCGAATATGTTTTTGCAGCGATTAAGGATTTTATCAAAGATATCGCAACCAATGTAGAGGGTCATGATCATGATCATGCTGCTCCTACAGAAAATGTACAGAGTAGTGATTCTTCGTTCACAATGACTGCATCTGATGTTTCAGGAAACTCCATGTCTAATTTAATTCAAGACGAGACAATGCATCCACGACCTGCTATATGGGCCCGTGCCCTTGAAGCAGCAACTCTTAAAAGAACAGAAGTTCTAATGCCTGAAAACCTTGAGAATATGTGGACAATAGGGAGAAACTATAAGAAGAAACTCAAGAAGTATGCTTCTATTGAGTCTCAAGATCCTGGAGAATTCGGTTCTTTGGGTGATTCAAAAAATATAGCCAAGGAAATAGCAACTCAGGAGGATGAAATATTTCCAGAAAAGGATGATAAGTCTCTGGTAAAATTTTGTTCAAGGCCTAATCACTATTCTGCACCTAGTGGTCTCAGTACTTATTTCTTATATTCATCTTTACATATGAACATGGAGCTAGCTTCTAAAACAGGCCCTTGAATGCAGGAAGCTGAAGATGCTGGTGCCATTATAAGCCCTGAAAGAAAAACTATGCTTAATAAGAGATCAAATAGCACCTCCGATTTGAATATCCTATTAGAGATGGAAGATCAGTTGGCTAGCAAAGGTGAACCTACTACATCACAACTTAATAATGCAGTTGTTGGGAGGAATACTGAAGAACATAACAACACTAGTGCATCAGAAATGATGTTACACAGTGACAAACATCAAATTCCAAAGCTCAAGTGCCGGGTATAAGAATTATTTTACCTCTTGTCCTCATACTCATGTATTATGTGCTATAGGTTCAATAAGTTGGGCCATGGTTAATAAGCAATTGCTTTAACAGATTTATATTAATTGAGGCTTGCTCTAACAGGTTATAGGAGCATTTTTTGAGAAACTGGGTTCACAACAATTTGCAGTTTACTCAATTGCAGTGACTGATGTTGATAATAACACTCGGTTCGTGAAGAGAAGGTCGTGTTCTCATCTTCATCTTCTGTTACTAGCCATAACATTATTAGTCAGTTACATCTTTCTGCTTTTGGTAAAATTGGAACCTTGAACTACTTTACATTCATTTACAAAAACGGTTCCTATGATGTTAACATTGCTTGGTTATCCTCTGACTTTGTTCACTGATTTCTATCTCTTACTGCTGTCTTAGCAGATACAGGAACTTTGAGAGATTGCATCGACACCTGAAGGAAATTCCGAATTACACCTTACATTTGCCTCCTAAAAGGATTTTTTCTTCAAGCACAGAAGATGCTTTTGTTCATCAGCGTTGTATTCTGCTTGACAAGTATTTGCAAGTATATTTCACACTGCTCTTTTTTAATTTGTGATGAGCAGTTTTCTATCTTTAGCTGCCTTCATAGGCTTCTCTTTTACCAGGATCTTTTGTCCATTGCTAATGTTGCCGAGCAACATGAAGTGTGGGATTTTCTGAGCACTTCCTCAAAGGTGTGTAGGTCACGTAATTTTGTTTTGTTTCTGGAGACAGTTTTAATTTTATAAACTCAGGTTGATTTAATAAGACTAACTTTTGGGTTATATGGATGAAGAGCTACTCGTTTGGAAAATCTCCATCAGTGATGAAAACTTTGGCAGGTAATTGGCTTTTTTCTTGGCTTATCTTCATTATGCTTTATACAAGGGCTGAGTACTATAATACTGTCTAGAATTCAATGCTTTCATTTCTTATTGTATAATTGTATCACTTTCTTGGTCACTTTCTTTGTTTTCATCTATGATAACCAATATTATTATTATTTTCCTTTCGATAAAACAGTTAAAGTGGATGATGCTGTGGATGATATAGTACGCCAATTTAAAGGAGTCTCTGATGGTTTAGTGCGGAAAGTTGTTAACTCCCCTACTGCTGCTTATACTCCACTTTCAGGCAAAACTTTTGCCTGGAACGATGATGAGATCAATAAACTTGCATCGAGGCAAAACACTTCAGAACCGGTGAGCAGTTTGTCTGATAAAGATGATGGCGATAAAGATGGAGGGTCCAGCCCACAAGCCAATGAATGGCATTCGGACAATGAAGTCAACTCAAAAGAGTTACCCAATCAGGCAATAAAACAAGAACCTGTCAGTGCTAGTGGATGTCCTGAAGCAAATTTCGCAATTGTCTCAGGTCAACAAGGGGAGCCGCTTGTAGTGCCCCCAGAGGTATTTACCATTTTCAACATCCCTAGTCCCTCGAAAATGAACTTTCTTCCAATAGGATTCTGATTATGCTCTCGATTATCTTCATAGCCTAATTACTTGAGTTAGGCGTGAAATGAGTATGAGGTGCAGGCATCAATCCTTTTCATATTTCACAAGCTGATAGTTCTGAGGATTGTTTATTGTGTTCCTGAGTAAACTCCCTAAAGTCTCTTATTAAGTATATAGTATTTCTAATAGTTAAGTGATTAAAATGATTAAAGGGATTTGCAATACAGATGAAGCAAAAATAATGCTATCATTTCTTGTAAGATAGTAAGTGTGGTGATAGTATCATTTCTGAGTAATATCCATGAAAAAGTATACAGCCAGCTGCAGGTATTATTTCTCATTTGTTCGATCATGGGGTTTCATCTATATTTACTCTGCTGCTTGCTGAATTTTCCTTGCAGTGGAGTCCTCCAAATCTAAGTGTGCCTATTCTGAATTTAGTAGACAACGTATTTCAACTTTCAAAAAGAGGTTGGTTAAGGTAAAGCTGCTACTTTTTTATCACGTGCATTTTCGGTTTTGATAATGACACATGTGACTTGATTTTCCTAAGTAGTACCATCCTTCTCTGCTCTATTTTCTTTTATATCCTGCATTTCTGCATTGCACTAGTTTTTTTCCAACTTAACGGAGGCAAACTGATGGACTGCAGCAAGTCCATGGATGTGTAGAGCTTCATGGAGCGTCTTATTGTACAACTTGTTATGTGTTCTTGCAGAAGACAAGTGTTTTGGATATCAAAGCAAATATTGCAGTTGATGATGGAAGACGCTATTGATGACTGGCTGTTGAGGCAAATTCATTGGATCCGGAGAGAGGAGGTCATTGCCCAAGGAATACGATGGCTCCAAGATGTAAATGTCTTTGCTAATCATATTTTTCTTTACTGAAAGCAGTTCAATTGGAACCCAAGATTTTAAGCTCCAAACTTGTAACTCACAGGATTTGAAATAATCATACTGTTGCTGTTAATGACTTGTTTCCAGATTCTTTGGCCTGATGGTACTTTCTTCCTCAAAGCAGCCGCTCAAAGTGAAAGGAATGATGGCCAATCAAATCAACAACAATATGGGCAGCCAATGAGACAGTTTCCAATGAGTCAGACATCTAAAGGAGGATCTTTTGAGCAACAGCTTGAGGCTGCTCGCAGAGCTAGTAATGTAAAAAACATACTTTTCAGTGAGTTCTCTATCTTATTCTGGATTCCCATCCCCCCTTCTATTCTTGAAATGGAGGCCGTTTGAATAGCTGCAGTCTATGCATCTTGCATCTTGAGTTACTATTTGTTTTACATGGCTCAAAATCTTGATCTTAATGCTCATTCCAGATAGTGCCCCTAGTGCTTTAGTCAGCTTGATTGGGCAAAAGCAGTACAGACGTTGTGCTCGAGATATATACTATTTCCTTCAGGTATGACCTTGCCATCATCTGATTCTTAGTATCCACGGACCTATTACTATTTGGTTGAACAAGTTCTCGTCTTTTTGAATTCCTCGGGACTGACTACCGTTAACTGCCTTGTGAGTTGCAGTCTACTATATGCTTAAAGCAAGTAGCATATGCAATTCTTGAACTTGTGCTAGTGTCCATCTTTCCAGAGTTACGGGATGTTGTGAAGGATATCCATGAAAAGATGCGCGAGATAACTTTGAACAACTGTGACCAAGAAAAGTAATGCAATCAGCTACAGGATGAGCTACTGAAAGCAGTAGCTTGACCAGCTAACTCTTTTCTTAGGCCAGAAATAGGAATCTTGAAATGTGTGAAAATTCTTTCTTGGACGTGAGAATAGCGCTTGCCCAACGTGCTCACGTTTTGTACAGAATGTAAATTAGAGCGTGCATTGACATGTATAGGAAACACATTCTTTTGCATACTCTTTTGACTCAACTCAAAATATGCAACTCCATTCTTTATTCATCCAGAAAATATACTTCCCAAGTATTGTTTTGTAAATACATGAGTTAATTTTTGTAATTTAAAGGCTTTAGATTGTGTTGGACTTAGCCAATCTGTGTTTACCAGAAGTCTCTGCATGAACAGATGCCATCTTGAAACATATGGAAGAAATTTGCATCCTTAATAATCAGCATTCTTCCATAAACCTTGGAGATGAACTTGCTTGCAGAGTGGCAATCGTTGCAGATGCGCAGGTTTTTTGTTACCCTTAACATTGTACCTGGCTTTGTTCTCATCAATCCTAAAGCAATAGCTAACTTCTCACTATGGTGATACAGTATATCCTTTTTAGCAAAATCTGGTACATCCTGAAACACACAGTTCATGTCAGCAACATAACCTTCTGCTTCTATTTTCAAGATTACACCTTTCAGAAACTCAGAGATCTCTGGATATAAAGGATGATCCTTCTCACTTGCCATAAACCTGTATACTTCTCCATTTATCTCGATCAAACTCAGACCGGGGCCTTTCTTCAGGTTTTTGGATCTGAGCAATAATCTTGTCAGCTTTACACCCTCTTGATTCCCCAGAAAGGCATACATATTCGACAGCAGTACATAATACCCAGCATCATCTGGATTCAGCTCAAAAAGCCTCTCTGAAATCTTAATCCCCAGTTCGATATTTCCATGAGCCTTGCAGGCACCAAGTAATGCGCCATAAACCTCAACACCGGGCTGTGAATGTATTTCGCTAACGATGGAGTAGGCATCATTCAATCGGCCTGCACGCCCAAGAAGGCCTACAACACACGCGTAGTGCTTCTGGTTAGGAACAACGTTCCAACTTTCAACCATACTGTTGAAAACCTCGAGCCCTTTGTCAACCATCCCAGCTTGACTACAAGCACACAAGACAGACACCAAGGTCGAGTCATTTGGAGCAACGCCTGCACTCCCCATCTTCACGAAGAGCTCAATCGCATCGTTACCATACCCATACATCGCAGTGCCAGCAATCATGGCATTCCAGCACGCGACATCCTTTCTGCTCATCGCTCCAAAAAATCTTTTTGCATCATCCAAGTTTGCACAGTTTGCATACATGCTTATAATGGCTGATCCTAGGAATACATCGGCTTCACAGCCCGTTTTAATGGCTAGTCCATGTACTCCCCTGCCCTGTTGAAGTGCTCCCCAGCAGCTGCAGCATGAAATGATGCTTGCCAAACAAACAGAATCCAGCACTATTTCTTCTACACCCATCATCATGTTAAAATATTGAATGGTTTTGTTCCAGTTTCCAATTCTTGAAAAGCCTGTCAACATCAATGTCCAAGCAACTACATCCCTCTTAAACATTTCAAGAAATAAACAATGGGCATCATCAATACAGCTAAGGTTTATATATTTCTCCATTAAAGCAGTCTTAACAAGATCATCCTCACATCCAAGTCTAACTGCTAAAGCATGGACTCCACTCATTATTTGCATATTTCCTGCAATTGAAGAAGCTGATATTAAGCTCATGATTGTTAGGGCATCCGCGGAAATCCTCTCCCTTCTCATCAAACTAAACAGTTGAATTGCTTCCACACCAAATCCATTATCTGAATAAGCAGAAAGCATTGCATTCCAGGAAACGCTATTCCTTTCAGACATATTATCAAATATGTGTCTGGCACTAATCGGCAGCCCCATTTTTGAGTACATGTCAACCAATGCTGTTTCCACATATACATTCTTTCCAAAATTTTGCCTAATCCAATAGCAATGTACCGATTTCCCCGTGAGAGTCAATCCCAATTCCCCAAAAGCTGGCAAAATACTCGAAATCGTAATCTCATTAGGCCTCAACCCATACATAACCATCTCAAGAAAAGTCTCAGTAGCTTCAACAAAATGACAATTTTTTACGAACCCAGAGATCAATATTGTCCAAGAAACCAAATTTTTACCCACAACTCGAGAAAACAGTTTCTGGGCATCCGCTAGAAGTCCACAACGAACATACGAGTTCAATAAGCTATTGCAGAGGAAAATGTTCCGGCAAAGACCTGATGTCACTAGGCTGGCATGGATTTCTTGAATATGTTTTCGCCGCTTGAGCAGTTTCAGCGTTGAAGCATATGAATGGTCGTTAGAGTTGGAATCGCGTGAAACTTCGAAATTTAAGAGGGTTCTATTTTGCCGCGAAGTGCAACGGTTAGTAACAGGAGCAAGTCGGTTCATCCTTTCTCGGTTTGCTTGGGCATAGCGGTAGTCAAGAATTCGAAGGAAATTTATGGCTGTATTCAATCATGACGAGTTTTAAAGACTTTGAACTTTGGAGGAATTTTTAGGGTGTGCACTTCTGGCGTGTGTTCTGTGCATTCCCTGTGCACGTTGCGTGCATACCCTATAAAATAATATTTAACACTTTATATATTTCAAATAAAAAATAAAAAATTTCGGGCCTAGCCTGAAACCGGCCCGGTCCAGATTTGTACTGACCAAGGCCCGGGACCAGCCTGGCCCAACCACCTCTATCCGTTACGATTCGGGATCAGCCCTGGCCCATCCGTTACGAGAAAGAAGAACCTCTATCCGTTACGACCCGGGATCGGCCCTGGCCCAGCCATTCGTTACGAGAAAGAAGAAAGAAGAAAGAAGAAAGAAGAAAGGAGAAAGGAGAAAGAAGAAAGAAGAAAGAAGAAAGAAGAAAGTCCGATACGCTCCAGATCAAGACGCAATCGAGGAGAAGAAGCTCCGATACGCTCGACATCATTTACAAATCCAGATCAAGACGCAATCGAGGAGAAGAAGCTCCGACGAGGAGAAGAAGCTTTGATACGCTCGACATCATTACAAATCTAGATTAAGACGAGGAGAAGAAGCTCCGATACGCTTGACATCATTTACAAATCCAGATCAGAAGACGCAATTGAAGAAAGACAAGGAGAAGAAGCTCCGATCCATTGTTCGAAATGGCTTGCGCACAAAAGAGGATTTTTAGCTTCTTCAAGATTTTTTGCCAACAAAATTGCTCACAGAAATTGGTTTGCATAAACAACCCTAATTTTTATTTTTTTTTAGCATTTGTGTATGTGCTTGAGTAAATGAATCTAGAGATTTTTAATCTAGAATGTAACCTTTTTAGTTGTATAAATCTTATCGTTCAAATCTTGAAAATAATCTAAAATTTTATAAATTTAACAAACTATTTTGTTTTTAACAGAAAATACTATTGTAAAATCCTGCTGAAGTAGCAATTTAGGTGCTAGGTGCCCATAGGTAAAATCTACCGTTTTAGACAATTGTCCGACTTTTTTTATTAATAGTTTATTTTGCTCAAAACATTTGTCGCTCACCATGGTTTTCTGTATCAACTCCATTTTCTGCCTTTGACACCACAATTTAAGCCACAACCAAGTTTTCAACTTCTTTTATGATAATAAATAGATATTTTATTTAGCATTAATTTACTCTTTGATCATTATCGATAAATGGTTAATTACTTCTTTACTTAAGTTCAAGAGATTGTGCTATTTGTGCATGATTCTGCTTCAATTGTCTAAGATTGTCGATACCATTTAGAAATCCTCATATAATGTATTCTTACCCAAATGAAGAAGAAAGAATATTTTATAAAATGGATTTTGGGTTGTTTTTTTTCATTGTTCCTTGTTTTCTTGTTCTTTAGAATGGAAGTGTACATCAATGAGCTCTACACATACTAATGTTCGTTTTTTTTTTTTTTTTTTTTTTTTTTTTTTTTTTTTTTAATTTTAAAATATGAATGATAAATCTCTTTTATTTCAATATTCAATGATAACCAATGTTTTGCTCCTAACTAAGATTGTAATTTTAAGACAAATTAAGGCACTACTTGTTTATGAGTTTGCTTCCTACTGAGTCTAATCAGAGTCATCGGGAATTTTAGCTTCCACAAAGTATTTTTATGTGCAGACTTTACACACACTCAACCTTTGTTTGTTTGTTTGTCCTTTTTTTTTTTTTTTTTTTTAATTTTTTATTTTTAAGTTTTTGATTGAAATAGTGCTAGCCTTTTATGTGTTTAATTGTTGCCTAAGCTTAAACCTTACATTCCAAATATTGAAAATAATTGTGTTTTTTTATCAACTTAATTATCAAATTTAACCCCATGTTTCTTCTAATAGGAAATTCCCAAATCATACATGGATCCAGAGAGAAGATATTCGCGCAAGGTTGTACTAAGGAATCGTACGCAAAAAGTCTGGAACATAGAGATAACAGAAACTCGAGATGCTTGTTTTTTCAAGCACGGTTGGGCAAAATTCGTAGAGGATAACTCTTTCATCAATGGAGATCAACTGGTTTTCATCTATGACCATCCTGCTGTGTTTGACTTCTTCGTAATTGACCAATTTGGCTGTGAAAAGATAATAATGGAAGGTGAAGAAGCTCGAGTGAAGGGGTTGAAAAATAATAATGGTGGTGGTGTTAATTGTCAAGATAACACTTTCTTGGTGGACTATGAAGTCAATATGGTCACTCAAGTTAAGAAAGACGAGGATGAGATGGATGCAAAAGAGGAGAACAATGATGTTGGTTTTCAATACCATACACGTTCCAAAGGAAAAAGTTGCATTATTGAATGTAAGTTAGTTTCTCTTGATTTTCTTTTTAATTTTCATTTTGTCATATGTTTCATATATATATATATATATATATATATATATATATATATATATATATATATATATATACTTTTCACCGAGCTAAGGTTTCTTAATTTAGGTGGATTCAAGAGAGCTGGTAGCGTGAAAAAAAGTGATGCTAGTCCCAAAAAAAAGAATGTTGGTGCAGGGAAAAATGATGCTAGGGCAAAGAAAAAGGATGTTAGTGAAGAAGAAAATGATGCTAGTGCAGAAAAAGTGGGTGTTAGTGATGAGAAAAAAGATGCCACTCTGAAAAAGAAGAAGAAGGATGTTCCTGATCATTTTGGTTTAGATATTTTCAGCTCAGGACGTTTTACTCAACCTAAAAATCCTTATTTTGTGACCAAAATCAGGCCAAAAAGGCGCGATGATCTGGTAATTATTCTAGACATTTATTCTTAATGCATGAGCGGAAGCTAAGTTTGTTGGCATATATTTCAATCTTGTTTCTCAATTACATATTTTAATTTGCAGTATATACCGATGGAAGTCATCAAGGATCACAATATTGAATTGCCTGCAAAAGTGATCATGTGTGATGAGAAAGATAAAAAATGGAAAGCATATATAAAGACGTGGGGTGATGGGCGAACATGGTTGTCTGGAGGATGGCGACAATTGTGTAGATGGAACCTTGTTCAAGAAAATGACAGGTGCATTTGTGAGTTTGTGCCTTCATTGGGGCCAGAATTGGTCTTGCAGGTCACCGTTATTCGAAGAAAGGACTTAGAAGCACAACCAAATTAATGCTTAGCTTTCTAGTTAGTTCAATCTTAATGTTTTGAAGACATAGCTCACCACAGTTTCTATCCATGTTCTTATGGGGGCTTTCTGACCTCTCTATTTTGAGACCGTATGAAGTTTAGTTTCGGTAATTTCAATTCGGAAAATTTAATTTAGATTTTAGTTTTTGAAACTTATGTTAATGTCATCTTTGCTTTGGTTTCATACATTATTTTCTATGGTATTATTATAATCTTGTTGGGATTAATTTATATTGTTTGAATAATGTGTCATCATTTTATTAGTTACATGCTTAGATGGCTTTACTTATTCATTTATATTGTTGGGTTGGTGCCCTTTACGGATATTTTGCAATATTTATAATATTAGAGTATAAATTGGATAATTTTTTTATTTTTTATTTTTACTTGTAATTGTACATGAAAAAACTAGTATAATTTGATGTAACGATACTACCAATGTATAGTTGTGACCACAATTTGTTCCAATTTTGAATTGGTGGGATTTTATGGACCAAAATTTAAGTATTAGGGGAACTGGGGAAGGGTCGACTTAAATTGTCATTTACATAAAATATATTTTACCTCATAGATTTTCATTCCTGCACTATTTGACCTATTTCAAGAAGAGTAAATTCTCAAAATTGTTCCTTCTATTGTCATTTGTTAATTTGTATCATTGTCTTTTAGCTGCACTTAATTTGGTTCTCTGGTTATAAAATTTTTACTCAATTTTTTTTTTGATCGTAAGGAGGGGGGGAGGGGGGGGGGTGAAAACTAGTTGCTGCCATTGCGCAACCAAGAAATGCGCAAGTAGTCACGGTTGATCAGCTCTTCCATACCGGAGGGACACCTGTCGAACTCTCTCCAAATTCCTTCCATCTTCGTTCCCGGGAGAATTTTTACTCAAAATAGTCATTCGTTAGAGTTGCGGTCAATTAGGTGTTAAACTGAAGGGTAAAGCTGTAATTTCAGTTCCTTCCCTACATTCTCCCACATTTTTGTCTTGTTCAGTGTCGTAGTTGGAAAAATTAACACAAGAGTAGTAACCCTAAATCATGAATCTTCAAAAACCAAAATACAACAATCCTTCGAAATGTTAAATGTTGAAGTGATCTGGCAAAAATCCAAGTAGCAGAGTAGTGAAAGTAATTCAAATATGAATCCACGTTGAGCATCTACAATGGCATTTCGTAGAAGGATTGACATAGCCGAAATTCCAACAATGCTTTAGTTTTAATTTGACATACAAATTAAGTGTATAATTAATCAATTAATTATTTACTCAACATTTGTCAACTCTCTAATTGTTACTTTTATAAGTTCTAGAACCACGTGAATGTTCTTTTCATTGAGTCAGATTGCTATCATCTAGAGTATTCATTACGATAAATAGGCTCGATATCATTTAGAAATCCAAATCAATTATTCTTGAGAAATTTAAATTTTAGGGGCAGGCGTTTCGATTTCAATTGGTTTTTTTTTTTTTTTTAAGGTTTCGGTTATTTTGATTTTGAAAAAATGAAACCAAACCGATTTTAAATTTTAGTTCGATTTGGTTACACTTTGGTTTTGGCTTGGATTTCAGTTCTATTTGAGAACTCAAACATTTCCTAATTCTTTTCCGCATATAAATTTATTTATTTTCGTTAATAATTTAAATTTGAAAATATAAACAACAAGTCTACAATGCATATTTCACATTTCTCAATAAAAAATTAGACCAAACCAAACCGATCTCATCACCTACGTATGCCTTCAGACAACAACGTCATAGAATCCTAGAAAAAATTTGAGAGCAAAGAACAATTGTGAAAATTTGGATTAGAAAATTGAGGATTTAGTATATATATTGGGTAAATTTCTAAATATAAAAACATTTAGTTATAGATTTCTAATCAGGAGAATAGAGCTTTAGGTGAGAATGTGTGGTCTAATTTTTACTGTTAATTTGATTAGATCTATGGTCATAATTTAAGTTGGTATATTTTTTTTGAAAGTTTAAGTTGGTATATTTAATTTGACAGTTTTTTAAGTAGTTGGCAGTTATAAAATCAATCAAATCCCTGGAATTCCTCCCTTAAACTAGACACATCTTTTTGCTAATAGAAATTTGAATGGTCTAGATTAAACCACACGACCATACATAAGCACTTGTTAAGACCCTATAATTATATATATAGTTATAAATTAAATATAAACCATTCTGTTTTTTTTTTTCTTTCTTTTTGTCAAAAATCATTCAGTCTATAAAATATAGAACATATCGTTTTTTACTACTAAACCAAAACCTAATCATTTAGTTTAGTTTCGGCTCGGCTCGACTAGGTTCGAATAACCCGGACGAAATGCCTACCCCTACTCATGTCTAACCCTTCATAGATTGTGGTTTGCTTCTAGTTTACTTTGTAATTCATAAACAAATTAAGTATGTAATAAATCAAACAAATTATTATTTACTCAACATTTGTCAACTCTCTAATTATTACTTTTAGAAGTTCTAGAATCACGTGAATTTAATTTTTATTGAGTCAGATTGCTATCATCAAAACTATCCATTACTATAGGTAGCCACGGGCCGGTCCAAGATCGAAACAACTTAGAATCCGTCGAGAAAAAAGTGGGTTTGGCTTCACTAGGCATGACTGAGCCAAGCTTAGCCCGGATTGGAATTGGCTTTGGACCGATTCAGGTCCTTTAAAAAAAAAAAACCTAGTGCATGGCCCAGGCCCGTGTAAACTTAACATGCAGCCATGGCAACTCCATGGCAAAAAAAAAAAAAAAAAACATTGATTAATTTTGGCCAACTGCCACATTGTGGCAACTGGACTTAGGCCTGCAACGTGCAACGACCAATTAATTTAGTCATTGCACTTCGAAAATATTTTAAATATTTTTTTAAAAAAATTATCTACTCTATAAATATCCTTACCCAATTCATTTTTACCAACAAAAATTTTCAATCGAACACTCTCTTACTCTTACAATGATTCTCTATACATCCTTTTTTTTTTTGAAATAAAAGAGCTAATTCATTAATCATACGATGAAAAGTTTACAATAAGATCGATGGAATGATAAAACATTCTTACAATCAGACAATGAAACAAATTTCTAATGCTACACGAAACTTGAATCTCTTACTGTTTTTCAAGATTGAAGCTGAATTCGTTTTGAGAACCTGAAACTTCTTTGATATTGTTAATGATCTTACTACCAAGTTTGACTCTATTGCGGCTCTTCTGTCCATAGACAATATCTCCATTAATCCGAAGTGCATATCAAGGTTCGGATCTTCTTCGGTGCTCGGGATGAAGCAAACATACTCCATTATCAGATAAATTGTTTCACCTTATGAAAAAAAGAGAACTCGCCAAATAAACGAGCGGAAAACTCGCTAAAGACACGAGAGGAAATAACTCGCAAACGAAACGAGAGGGAATAACTTTAACAAAACAACAGATGAAAATCAAATCTAAAACAACCAAAACAATTCCTAAACACCAAACCATTAACTAATATGTGTGTGTGTGTGTGTGTGTATATATATATATATATATATATATATATATATATAAAGTAAAGAAGCTTGGATCTGGAGTTGGAGATGGCGAGGGACGGTGGTGAAGGAGGAAGAAACGTCGATGAGGGGCCGGAGGAGAGGGTGGCGGTGGAAGAGAAGCGGAAAGAGGTGCCGGCAGCGGAGGAGAGGCCGAAGGACAGACGATTGAGAGACGGTCGGAGTTGGGGAAGAAACGAGAGGAGGCCTTCGTTGCCTCCGCAAAACGAGCGGAGGCGGCGGTCGATGAGGGAAAACCCTTACAGAGAGAATATTAGGTTAGGGATTAGAGAATATTCCTCTATACATCCTCTTAATCTTATTTATATTTTATTCTTTTGATTGTTTTTAACCTCTCAAATTTTCAATTTCAATTTATATATTTTTAATTCTTTATAATCCTATATTAGTCCTATATTTTTAATTTTTATACTCTTAATTTCATATGGCTTATAATGGTAATCCTTCGAAATGTTAAAGTGATCTAGCAAAAATCCAAGTAGCAGAGCAGTGAAAGTAATTCAAATTTGAATCCACGTAGAGCATCTACAAATCTACAATGACATTTTGTCGAAAGATTGACATTGCCGAGATTCCAACAATGCTTAGTTTTAATTTGACATACAAATTAAGTCCATAATTAATCATTTAATTATTTACTCAACATGTGTCAACTCTTTAAATGTTAGTTTTATAAGTTCTAGAATCACGTGAATTTGCTTAACATGTGTCAACTCTCTAATTGTTAGTTTATAAGTTCTCATTGAGTCATATTGCTATCATCAAGAGCATTAATTACGACAAATAGGCTTGGTATCATTTAGAAATCCAGATCAATTATTCTTGAGAAATTTAAATTTTATAGACGAGAATTTCAATGATGGGGTATTGACTCTTTAGGCTGTATTAATTTGAGAAAATATAAAACAGATATTACCTTGTATTAGAGTCAATAGTATTCAAAAAAAAAAATTGAGTCAAATTGCTATCATAAAAAATATCTATTGCTAGAGGTGGTTACGGGCCTTTTTAAGGTTGAACCAACCCTAAATCAGCCCGAAAAAGTGGGGGTTGAACTTCACAAGGTCTGAACCGGACTTAGCCGGAGAAGAACCGACTTGTAAAGGACCGGTCCTTTAAAAAAACACGGGACTGGCCCAGGCCCATGCCCGTGCACAACCCAGGGACAGGTAAACTTAGCATGCAACCACGGCAACAAAGCATGGTAGCTCCATGGCAGGGACGGAGTCAGAAAACTTGAGTTGGGGGCTGATGTAGTAAAGAAAATTTACAATGTTAGTCGACATTATAATTAACTGCACCATATTATTATATATACCATACATTATTGTGATTATTATTGATAATGATTTCTAATTATACTATGTGTAATAAAGTATGAAATACATAATTATATGAGTACGATCGACACAGGTGTAAATCATTACTTTAAAATTTTTTCACATAACACAAAATATAATAACAACAATAACAACAACATCTATTTAAATATAGATTGTCACTTAACATCAAATAAAAAGTTTTGTCAATTATTTTGTCACCAAATTTTTTTCATAATTAACTTATATTCGTTTTATGGTTAGCTGAATATTTCAAAATTTAAGAGATAAAGACAAAAATCAAGATGAATTAAATAATCAATATTAATTTTTGTCAATTTCAAAACTAATCATTTAAACTAAAATGTACATCTTACAAATGTAAATAAATAATTAAGATAAACAATAAATCACAAATTTATTAATCAATATATATATATATAACTAATAAAACCAAAGTATATATCTCAAAATTAGAGATTTTTTTTTAAATTAAAATATATACTTGATGTCATTCATTATTAAAATCTTGATAAAAGAAATAAGATAATAAAGAAAAATGGTCACTTTAATTATTTGATTTATTTCTTTTTATTTAATGAATTTGAACTTTAATATATACTAGTATTTTCACCCGTGCGATGCATGTAATGGAATTGTTGTAATATATTAAGAATATTTAAATCGATATATAATTATTTAAGAGTTAATTTCACCAGAGGTCGCTTATCTTTCCTGACAATTCCAAATTTAATCCTAGACTATAGTTATTAATTATTACGATTTATTCTATGCTATAATTCTTACGTTAATATTCTTACTATTATTATTAACACTTAATTACTTTTAGATATTATTATTACCACTTATATTATTATTATTATTATTATTATTATTATTATTATTATTATTATTAGGTTCTTATCAAGTTCTGGTAGTATATAATGGCCGTGAGGCACAATAATAATATAACCATAATTAAATATTCTTGTATTGTATTCCGTGAGTCACAATAATAATATAACAATAATTAAATATTCTTCAATTCTATATTCTTCTAGGATTTCTATTACCATCATTAATTATTCCCTAATTTACCATAGTTAAATAATTTGACCAATTATAAAGAGAGATTATTAAATAATGCATGGGATAATTTTTTAATTAAAATTTTTAAAAATTTATTAATAAAACATAAGGTTCTCATAGTTTTTTCTTAGAAACTATTTAATAAAGCATTTTTTTTTTTTAGAAATTGGTGGGCCAAACTGCCTAGGCTGTTTGCGGAGGATAGGTCTCGAAAAAATACGCGATTTCAAAAAAACACTTGTCCAAAACGGACAATCCAGTCAAAAGTTATGCCTTGCTGAACTTTTGACACTTTACAACTTAAAAAAAAAAAAAATTAATCGTCGGTTCAGCGATTTTTGCAACACTGATATATAGTATAGATATAGATTAGAATAGGAATAGTAGTACACAATTTTCTAATATTAGAATAAAATTTTAACCAAGAATTATTGTAGAAATCAATATATTTTATTAGGAAGAGAGATTTTTAGAAATTGGGCGGGAAGTTAAAATTTCATGATTTTGTTTTTATATAAAGTATAAATTACAATAGGAATTGTATTACACTATTTTATAATATTAGAATAGAATTTTAACCCAGAATTATTGTACGAATGGGAAAGTAGAAATGAATATATTTTATTATGAAGAGAGATTTTTAGGAATTGGGCGGAAAGTTAAAATTTCAAGATTTTGTTTTTATATAAAGTATAGATTACAATAGGAATTGTATTACACTATTTTATAACAATAGTTATGCTGTGCAACCGAATGCACCATGCGCATGGTGCATACATGCATACGCGCGTCCCACTTAAAAAAAAATTTCAGGTTCGATTCTCGGCAATAGCATTATTGTGGATATATATTTATGAATTTCTGGATATATAGTTATGAATTTGTGGATATATAGTTATGAATAGTTATGAATTTATGGATTAGTTCATTCATTGTGGATATTTAGTTCATTCATTGTAGATATTTACTTCATTCATTCACTGTGAATATATAGTTATGAATTTCTGGATATATAGTTATGAATTTATGGATATTTAGTTCATTCATTGTGGATATTTAGTTCATTCATTGTAGATATTTTCTTCATTCATTCACTGTGGATATTTAGTTCATTCATTGTGGATTTTTACTTCATTCATTCACTGTGGATATATAGTTATAAATTTGTGGATATATAGTTATGAATTTATGGATATATAAAAATGCTATTGCCGGGAATCGAACCTAATTTCTTCTTTAAGTGGGACGCGTGTTTTTTAACCAAAACGACGTCGTTTTGCATCGAATGCACCATGCGCATGGTGCATTCGGTTGCACAGCATAATTTGCAATTGTATAATATTAGAATAGAATTTTCACCCAGAATTATTGTACGAATGAGAAAGTAGAAATCAATATATTTTATTAGGAAGAGAGATTTTTGGGAATTGGGCGGGAAGTTAAAAGTTCAGGATTTTGATTTTATATAAAGTATATATTACAATAGGAATTGTATTACACTATTTTATAATATTAGAATAGAATTTTAACCCAGAATTATTGTACGAATGGGAAAGTAGAAATCAATATATTTTCTTACGAAGAGAGATTTTTTAGAAATTGGACGGGAAGTTAAAATTTCAGGATTTTGTTTTCATATATAGTCTAGATTTTGAGTTCATTTAATATAAACATAATAGATTATTTTTTTCAAAAAATAAATTAGAGGGGACCAAAAGTGTATTTTATCCCTACTATATCAATATATATACATACATATTTATTAAAAAATTTAGGAGTAGGAGTGGGGTGGGGTGGGGGCGGGCAGGACTCCCCTACCCCTAAGGTGGCTCCGTCCCTGCTCCATGGCAAAAATACATTGATTAATTTTAGCGAGCTGCCACATTGTGACAACTAGCCTTAGGCTTGCAACGTGCAACTAGCATGTGCCGGAGGTTAGGCTAGGCTTGGCCTCGTGCAGAGGCTAATGCTTGCCTGCTCCTGGTATATCATTATATTCTAATTTAATTCTATAAGATTCAATTTGAACCGTGGTAACCGATTATGTTAGCATTATTTTTCCTGGCCAATATCAAAAGTAAGGAAGTGCAGAGGCAGTCCAGTTTAATTGTGAACCAACCACCTCCTCACCCCCTTATCCATTCACCCTCTAATATTCTCCTCACACCCATTTCCTCCCAATCACACCTTTTCTTTTCCGTTTTTATCACTTCTATACTCATCTTCTAACTTGTTCGATCAGGTAAAGAAGGCCATGGCAACTGCATCTGCATCGGCTACATTTTCTCCGGCGAGTGCAGTTACCGGCACGGCCATCAGGCCTTCCCAGAAAAGGGCGACGAAAGTGAATTACATTAGTGGGTTGAACTCGTTCGGAGGGCTGAAGGCGCATAACCATGTATCCACTCTGGGCCTCCCTGTTTGCACTGACCACTCATTTGCAAAGATTGTGAGCTCACTGAGAGACCCATCACGGGGCAGAGGGAGAGGCGGCGGCGGCGGCGGCGGAGCTCTCTCTTCTACCTGCAATGCCGTGGCTGAGATTTTCAAGATTGCGGCCATCCTCCCGGGGCTTGTTCTCGTTGGGGTTGCCGTCGGCTTCGTCCTCCTCCGCCTCGAAGCTACTGTCGAGGAAGCTGAGTGATCTGAGAGAGATCAGATGCTTCACTGCTAATCAAGATTAGCTCTGCTTCTCCATTCATTCCATATATACATATCTATGCTTATTGTGACAGATTTGATTTGATTTCATTTGTTTTTCTCACATATTATTATATATATCATCAAAATAGTAAAACCTGCTCATTTCTTTTTCTCATTACCTTAATTAGTACATCAAACTCTTGTTGTTTGCTTCTGTTATGATTTTAACATGAAAATCTATGATAAAGTCAAAGAAGGGATTTTTCAGATTGAAATTCCCAAAGCTCCAAACAGGAAAAGTGGGATATTCATTAGGGTAAGCATGCTTATAAGGCAGTTCATAATATACACATAATTAGGGCAACCCATAACTTGTCATCTAACCTATACCTGAACTTGTTTCAAGCCATTAATGGCGTCTGGGTCATCCACCACTCTACTGTGAAGTTGTTCATAGTTGGGGAAAGGGAAACCCCCCCTGGCTGCTTGGTTTCTGGCAAAAACAAGGCAAAGAGTGGCAACAAGTGCCAAAATAAGAGCAAGAACCCAACTGAACTGCAAATTCGCCAGCGCCACAGCCCTCACGCCCGCTTCATGGCTGCCACATACCACGGCGCTACTGTGATGCCCTGCGGCGCCCATACATCCCCGCGGCACGAACCGAGGAACCCACAGCATGAACCCCATGTTCACGAACCAACAACCTTGGAACACAACCGAGACGGAAAGCACAAGCGCCGCTGGGAAAACGGCTGGAAAGGTTGTGGCAAACAGGGCTGCCACGAGAGAAATGCACACGATGATCTGCAACAGCCAGTGGTAATGGCCTTCTAGCCCAACGTGATCGGCAGAGTGATAATGAAGCAAGAAAAGCTCTTGACTGAAAACGGAAGAGGCAAGTATGCCAGAGATCCCAGTTAGGAGATCAGTGGAGTGGTTCAACTCAGCGAAAAGAGTGAACCCAGCAAATATGGCGAGGTGAAGGAACATGGTTGCGTGCTCTAGATTCAGAAGCTCTAAAGAAAAGTGGAGAGGAGGGAAGCTTATGAGCTGTGTAACCATGGCAAAAACTGAGAAAGACAACACAAGAATGAGTTCCAGATTGTGGGATTTGCAGAGAGGATGAAGATTGTTGTTGAGTGGGTACCAAAACCTTGATCTGAACTTAGCAGGGCCATTTTGATAGTAAGCTCTAATGGTGTTGATTGTGTGCATTAACCCAAGAAAGGCAAGGGCCAAACCTGGTACCAGATGTCCCACTAGAGTTCCCATACTTGAGATTAATGAATTGAATTGAATTGCATGAAAGCCTTAAATACAAGAACAAGAACAAGAACATCATGGTTTGTATCAAAACTCAAAAGCAGTACTACAGACAAAAATCTAATCGGATTTAAGGTGCACTTTGCATGGGTTTCCACAAACAACACGTATAGGATAAAAAGTGGTAGCAGAAAGTATGCGGCTCTTGAGGATGATTAAGAGAAAGTGAAGCGGCAATGCGAGAACCATAACATTTCGGGGTGTTTGGTAAATAGCTGTTTTAATGGATTTGACTAGTTAATTGTAGAAAAATGTTTGGTAAATTAGCTATTAGTTGATAGCTGATTACATGCAAAATAACTTTCTTAAAAAACTGATTTGAATTTTAGCATTTTAGAGTAATAAGCTGTTACAACAAACTAATTAATTAAATATTTATATTGAATGTTTAACCAAGCCAAATAACCAATAGTGATCAAATAAGTCAAAATTGACTGATAAACTAACTATGTTACCAAATATTTTCTTAGTTTTAGCATTACCAAACATGAGTGTATATGAGGACATTCTTAGTCCATGATCTATTATCGTTAAAACAATATGGTCAATTCAACAAATTAAAGCTTTTAAGGTTAGTGCATGATAGTTATTGGATGGTTAATGAAAATGTCATGTCGTCCATCCATATATTGTAATATATAGTTAAAAAGGAAGGTTGGATATGATCCTGTGGGCTCTACGTTCATCATTGCAGGGTGCTTTCCTATAGGATGTTTATGAGTGTTTAGCAATATTATTAACTTATGTCTTAGGAGTACTGCTATTACAATTTGAAGGATATTTGAGCATGAGAAGAAAGGGAGAAAATTAAAAATATTCTCTATGTTCTAACTACTCCTCATAGATCCATTATTTATCCTTCCCAGAAGAAGCATCGTCTTACTCTTTTTTTTTTTTCAATTTTTTTGAAGGGATTACATTTATGCCTCTCACAAATATGTGAATTATCAATGTCACCCCTAAATTATTAATGGTGTAAATGTTGCTCCTCAATTTTTAAAACATCCATTCTCTAATTTAAGAGTAATATTAATAATTGACATATTTGTGAGGGACATAAATTACAAATTTTTCCTTTTTTTGAATGAAGGAGTGTCTTACTTTGTAGAAAAGTTATTAACAAATGGAGTATGTATACAACATCGAAGGGACATGTTCAATTGATGGCAAATTAGAATGAGTAACAGACAACAAACGAATTGACGACTTCAAAAAGCTAGTTTTAATCGTTTGAGCAACAAATTAGAAAACATGTCTCTATTAGATTAAATAAATGCAGAGCACTAAGAAAATACAACACTGATCCCACTAGTGTAGTGTGTCTATATATAGTGGGGAATGACATACATTACGTGTCCCAATAAGCTTTTCCCTCTTGTTCCGTAATGACACAAAGCTTTTAACCAAGTGTTTCATTTCCCTGGAATATTACCTCAATCATTTTCCTCTTCACTACAAATGAGTAATATACTAATATGTGTATGTCAAATACTTTCTTTTCGTATTTGATGATGATGATTCAACGTTTTTATTTTTCACATTTTTATGTAATATACCCCATTAAGTGGTACAAATATTACAAGGTATACTTGTTGAAAAAAATTAGTTAAATTGTCATTTAAAGAGGTCAAACCATTTTGTGGTATAATTTTTCATAAATGAGATTCACTTTTGAGTTGAGTTGGGTTAAGGTGGATTAAAGGTTTAATTTGTTATATTATATGCACTCAAAATGAATGATGGATAATGAATAAGAATTTAATTCTTAAAGTATACCCATTTAAGATATGAAAATAAAGTTGGAAATGTTTTTAAGTAGTCTTTGTTCCACATTAGAAAGGCATGTAGATTCGCACTAATATATACACAATTTAACTTTTTAAAGAATTTGAATTGTTTATCAAGGATGTTCTCTCTTGCCCCAAATTTGCTGAAATGTAGCACAAATATAAACATGCCATCAAACTATTTACATTATATTACATTACAAGTTATGTTTTCCGTGATTTCAACATGTAGTACGTTGTCTTTATATGTCATATAGACTAATTTAATTTTTAAAAAAAATATTTTTATTTATTTAAAGAAAATTACAAGTTATGTTGACATGACTTTCACGTAGCACCCATGTTTATAAATTAAAGAAAAGTATACATGAAAATCACATTAGCATAATCTGCAATAGCAAGTTAATTACTAGTAAAAATGTTTAAAAAAAATTAAAATGTAATGCCCTAGACTAAAAAGTACTTCGAGAGCTTATTATATGCCCCTTAATTTCTTATCCCATTTATTAATACTCTATAATTTATTATGTTCTTTTGTTACTCTCTAAGTCTTCCACACACTCCATCTATAATATAAAAGTATGAGGAAAAGTTGTATAGAAATCTTCACGTTGCCCAACTGCAACAATGACTAGATGTATGTTTACTAGCTATTTGATTATATTTTATGTAACATGACACGTATGAAGGATCAATATATATATGTTGATGCAATAATAATTGATGAATACTCTACTACACGGAACATTCACTGCTTTTCCAGCCTTTTCATCAAATCTTTAGCATTCATCGATCACCAAATTCATTGCAAAATAAAGTCATAGGATACAACATTATCTCCGTTTTATAAAAGCAATCCAAAAATCTAATTTCGCATTATCCATCAGCTTTTAATGCCTTCACGCATTATATAATTTAAGGTTCGTTAAGGATCGGAGTATTTAAATGAATACAGATAACACAGAGTTATTGTCTGATACTTTTGATTTAAAATTTATTTTTACTTATTTGATGTGTGTTTTGGAAGGAAACTCATGAATTTATGTATTTATCATTTTACCACCGTTAATTTAAAAGATTGAGAGGCTATCACTACTAGAAATTATGAAATTTCCGATCACCTGAAAGTGATCTTAAATCAAGTTGATACCAAAAAGTGATCGGAAATAGCAACACAGGTTTTTCCGGATATCAAAAGTGGTCGGAACAAGACTTTTTACTTGATTTAAGATCATTTTCAAGTGGTCGGAAAATTCATAATTTTCAATAGTGTATTCTAATATAATTGAAGGACTAAAATAACTATTCTCCCTCTTAACTTTTAACATTTTAAGATAGAGTTGAGATTGAATCCTTTCTTCTTTTTTTTTTTTTTTTTTTTTTCGCATTTCAATCCTTAAAGTAGAGATTGATGAACGCATATATGCAATGTGATGAGGACCACTCATCTTTTGCAACCCTTTCATAAGATCATCAACGTTCATCTCTTCCACTTCGAAAACGTAACCAAACCATTATGCCTGCAAAGGTTCCCACGTGGCATAGTGTTATGATAGAAGAAGACGTATGCATGCAACTTCATATCATCTGCTTTTTTTTTTTCTTTCTTTTTTTAAAGCTTATAAAAGCAATATAATGAATGAATCATTAATTAAATTATAGGTAGTATCACTCATAGCATTGCCTTTCAATTTCCAAGGTTTTATATATATTCCGTACTTTATAGAAAATGCATGATTGCAAATTTGTCTGTCGGCTATATGTTCTACACAGATGTGTGGATCATGAATATAATGTACATTCTTAATATACTAAAAGTATATTATTTATGTACTGAATGTACATTATTTGAAAACATACAAAATCATATATTTTCAATATTCAAATAATATATTTTTCATTAATACAAGATACATTTTTAATATACTAAAAATATATTATTTATATATTGAATGTACATTATTTGATAATATACAAAATAATATATTTTTAGTATTTAAATAATGTACTTTATATACACAACTATATGGACCATGGTCCGATCCATAGAATAACGATATGAAAATGATGGCAAATTATGCTCTGGACCCGTGTCCACATTGAATTGTGGACACGGGCCCAAAACGACGTCGTTTTTAAAAAAAAAAACGCGTCATTTAGTTAAAAAAAAAAATTTCGTGCGTGTTTTGCCGTTAACGGCGTTAACGGCGTTTTTTGTTTTTTTATTTTTGATTATGAATGTACAGTTATGCAATTATGAAATTATGAACACAGAGCTCTAACATTATGAACTTACAATTATGAACATATATAGTGATAAAATTATGACCATGGAGCTTTAAAATTGTGAATATAGAGCTTCGAAGATTATGAATGTACAGTTATAGAGTTATGAATCTACAGTTATGGAGTTATGAATCTACAGTTATGAGATTATGAATCTACAGTTATGGAATTATGAATGTACAGTTATTGATCGAATTATGAACAAAGAGCTCTAACATTATGAACTTACAATTATGAACATATAGTGATAAAATTATGAACATAGAGCTCTAAAATTGTGAACATAGAGCTTCGAAAATTATGAATGTACAATTATGGAGTTATGAATGTACAGTTATGACGTTATGAATGTACAATTATAGAGTTATGAATGTATAGTTATAGAGTTATGAACGTACAGTTATGGAGTTATGAATGTATAGTTATTAACATATAGTAATAAAATTATGAACATATACTTCTATAACAAAGTGATCTGAAATTTAAAAAAAAAAAAAAAAAAAAAAAAGAGGAGATAACAGTGCCTAACGGCACTGTTACCCGTGTCCATCCAAGGCATAACGATTGGAAAATGATGGGGTCAGGTCATAGCCCATAAGAGGTCAGAATAGGACTATGAAATTGGGCCAGAAGGGTGACCCAATAAGACTATATATATATATATATATATATATATATATATATAGAGAGAGAGAGAGAGAGAGGAATAAAGGTCAAATAGGCCATCGAATTGCACACGATAATGTAATTAGGCCACTGAGCCTAAAAAACCTACAATTAGGTCCCTAAACTAACCAAATTTGTGCAATTCTTTTAATTTGCAGGTTTTCAATCGGTCATTTCAAATTAAATTATTTTTAAAAAAATAAATTTTACAAATAATTATTTAAAATTGAAATTTAAAAAAAAAACAAAAAAAAAAAAACAGATCTTCCCGCCGGAGATTCGTCTGGCCGATTTCTTCGTCTCCATGGCCGGAGACG